ATCTAATTCTTGGTTTGTTGCTTGATTTAGTTTAACTTGGTTAAATATATAAACTAATATCAATGTTGTTAAATAACTACTTTCTTTTATGTGTTGTGTTCCTTCAGAAGATGGGTGATCATGGCTCTCCACAACTTCCTATCCCTTGTATGTCTTAGCAATGTTTGTTTTTTTAATATCTCTTCCATTGCCCGTTCTGCTATCCATTTATACAAGCTCATTAGGTAAGTTACTATTTCCTTTTGATTTTAGTATGTTCTACAAGTGTTAAAATTTAAAGGCCCACTTTCCTCAGTACGTATCCTAGAAATTTCATCTGTTTCTTTCTGTGGGTGTATTTTATATTTTTTTTCATTTTCTTTAAAACTTTCTCATTATTTACATACTACTCTCAGGTCTTGAATGAAAGACGTTTTATTTTGTTTTGTTTTTTTGTTTTTTCAAAATAAGAGGGAGTAGGAATTTCTGGAATTAGTTTAGAATTTAGTTTATCTGAATGAAAGAATGGCATGTAAACATAAACTAAATTATTTAATGAGATTTAAATCAATTTCCTTTTAGATCAAAATATTTATTTTCCAAATAATCCTAAGCTTTGACAATACATTGATCATTGTAGATTGAATAGTTTTTTTGTTTAAAGTGCATCTAACGTAACCAGATTCACCTTGCAAAGATTGGAGTGTAGGATTAAACATTTTTCCCATTTTATCATACTATAATATTGACACCTATCCAGGAGATTTTGGATTCAGCTGTTGGCCAATATCTCATTGATAATCCAGTCTGACTTTTTCAATATTTTAAGTATTGTACAGACATTTTTGCACTTGACAATTCTGGAATCACTTTTTCTTTCTAGGCGCCAACTGTCTCTGCAACTAAAAGGATTCTTTTTATTCCTTAAAGCTTATTCTTTTACATGCTGGTGTGAATCGGGTTACATTGCACGAACCTTGCAAAGATTGGAGCATAGGATTAAGCAACATTTGCCCATTTTGGATTAGGAATATCCAATTACGTCATAATGTTGACACTTATCCAGAAGATCTTGGATTCAATGAATGGCTAACAAAAATCTCATTGATAATCCAGTCTGTGTTAATACTTTTTCAAACGATTGTTTCAAAATCCTAAGTGTTGCACGATCATCATTCCATTTGAAGATTCTTGAATCTTTTTATTTCTAGACAACAATAGCTGTCTTTTTGTAAGCAAAAAGATTTTCTGTTTGCTAAAACGAACTGGTATAAGTTGTCTGTCTCTCTTTTCTTTTCTTTTTTTCTTTTTCTTTTTTTAATAACTTGATAAAAGATAAAGATGACATTTAGAGCATTTTACTTTGTCTTTATTGGTAATTTTGTTTTATTTTTTAATCTTTTAAATTAATCAATGATCCCCTTTGATGAGGGCTGATAGAAAAGCTGGCTGCTTAAAAGGAATTGCACCATTTTTTTGTTTTTTTTCCAATTTAAATTTTCAGCATGCCTCTGCTTGTTCATGATACATAAAGGTTTTGTGCTCTTAAAAATTTGTTTAAAAGGAAATGTTCCCATGGTAAACTTTACATTCAAAGATGTGTACACTGACAAACCATTCAAACTTTGCTAAATGTAGAGCAGGTGTCTTACATTTACAATTACCTCCAACACTATGGAATCTTATTTTGAGGCTTTTACCAGTGTTATCTAGTTCATCGTTTTCAAGCTTTTCATAGAAACATTCAACCATTTTTAGTGGAAATAATCTATTATTGTTTTGGGCTGTACTCAAGTTGGAATATTTAAAAAAATAAAATAATCTGCTTTGGCAAGATATCCTTAAAAACATCATTTTCACTTAGCATCCCAATGTGTATTATCTTTTGTTTTCTAACAAGCAATTTTACTGGTGGTTCAATTTAAATACTTTGACCATTTTCACTGGGTAAAGTTGTTTTCAATAAGAGTAGGTGTTTACTTCCTCCAGCATAATTTCACAAAAAAAAACATTTCCTTGTCTTTAATTTTAATACACACACACACACACACACACACACACACACACAATGGCTAACTGTTAGTTTCCAGGTCTGCCCATCAGCTAAGGTGGCTAGCTCGTTCCTGTTGCAGACACCTGCTTAGGCACATTTGTATTTCTTCAACACAAACCTGTGGTTTATATTGCAACTATGCTGAACAGACCACAGTTACAGTTTCTGAGAGACTTAGTACACAATCCGACATGAACAAGGGCAGAACACTCCACGCTGACTTCTGACTTTGTACTAGCACAATCATCAACAGCTTCTGAACAATTGGCTCAACTTATAATATGATTTTCAGGCACTTACCAATGGTGCCACAGATTGGCATTGTCTCCTTGGACTGATATTACCAAGAAATCATTCACTTGACAGATTGAGCATGGTGATATTCAAACCTTTGGTCTCGTGGGTAGAATGCTAAAAGTTCTATACATTCAGCTGCACACCCAAGAAAGATCTGGAACCGTCATTTTAGCTTGACGTGCCTAACCTCTTGGCCACAAAGGATCGTTCAGTTGGCAAGGTCGAAGAGGCTAGGCACGTCAGCGTAAATGACGGTTCCGTATAGGATGCAGGTTTGAATCCTGTCAAAGGACGAATATTTTCTATGAAAATTTCACGGACATTCAGGCTGGTAAATGTTATTTAATACTGTTTATTATAAACAGAGCATTTACTTAAATACTTGTATCTATAAAAGAATGTTAAACATAAAAATGTCTTTAATATATATATATATATATATATATATATATATATATATATATATATAATAGCTGGCCACTCATATTCAGGGATACCAGTCTACTAGGAGGCTAGCCAATCCCTCTTGCAGAACCAAACTGTGGTTTATACTGCAACTACGCTGAGCAGACCTTAGAGTTTCTGGGAGAGAACGTGTCACCTAGCATGATCGACAATCTGAACAAGGCCAGCCCACTCAAACCCAGAGTCACAATGACTTGTGACTTCATACTAACACAACTTCCAACGGCCCCCAAGAGTTCCTTCTGCCCAATTTCACTCAAATGGCTTAACAACCCATGGTATGGTTTTCAGGCTCTTTCAAAAGTGCTGCACGCTGGGATCACCTCCTCCAGACTGATAACATCAGGAAGTCTACTTCCTGAGAAATTCACTGTGGCGAGGTTGAACCCAGGTCTCATGGTTAGAAAGCAAAAGTTTTAACCACTGGGACATGCACCCACCCATACATACATACATACACATATATATATATATATATATATAAGTGGTTAATATACACATACATATATGTACAACACACAAATATATATATACACACACACACACACACACACACACACACACACACACACACACACACATATATATGAAAATTCCAAGAGGATAGAATCCAGATAGAACTCAATGTCCAGGACAGAATAAGGAGATAATATATATATATAGCTTTCATTTACTCTAACATTCGTCCCACACTCTCATACATAAACTCTCACTAAATTTTATTTTTTATCGCCGGAGTTAACTTTCATTCTCATTGTCAGCCATAGTTATTTCAAAGTTTCAGCAAAAAATTCCTCCAATATATTCTTACAGATTCACAATGTGGTGAAAAGTGAAGCTATATCAAGATGACAAATTTAATTGGTTCTTACACCAAATCTCTCTCTCTCCCTCTCTCTCTCTCTCTCTATATATATATATATATATATATATGAGTTAAAGATCAAATGTAGATCAGAATCTGATAGGATGTTAAGATAAAGAACAAATAGGAAACATATATCAATCTAACAGGTGATAGATTGATATACATTTCTTATTTGTCCTTTATCTTATACACACACACACACACACACACACAGGACATCCACAAAGTCTTTAATTGTTTATGAAAAACTTAGAAAAGGTGGTAACTAAATTTTTGTTGCATATTAATGTTATAAAGTTCTTGTTAATGATATTAATAGTTTTATTAATGTTATGTTTTTATGTTTCTAACCACAATATTGTTTTTATGTTTCAGACTGCATGACTTTGTAGGCACCCTGTGGGTGTATTTAATTTTGTATTTTTCTGTGTCATCATTTCTGTTTTTGGAGAGAGTGCAGGAGGGATCATTAATTTCTTCCATGCTTGAATAAAAAAAAAAAAAAAAAAAATACTAAAAAAACTGTATTCCTATTTAAGAAAATGATTTTTCAAAAATGAAGAATAAAATACTTTATCTGTCATTGTATAAAAGAGAGACAACCTTTTTAATGCTTCAACTGTTAGCAACCCTCTGTAGTCAGTCATGTAGAGGAGAGATTTTTTTTTTCATTTGAGAAAAATGAACACATTTATTTTTCATTATTCACAATGTTGTATCCTTTGACCTTCTTCAGGTGCTTGTTGTTCCGAGTAACCTTCAAGGAATTTCAAACTAAACCCTTTATTTAATCTACAGCAGGAAGAAAAAAGAAATCAAAATGACCGAGACAAGATATCCCGAGACATGAACAGCAAAACAAAAACAATCTACCCCCGTAGACTAAATATAGGATTCAGTTCAGAATTCTGTAAAGGTTATCCAGATCGACTGACACCTGAATAAAGCCGGAGAGAACAGCTGAAGCATTGTGATAAGAGCTACAAAGAGGAGGACATTAGTCTGAATATAAATAATGATAATTCCTCGTCCCAGGAATTCAGATAGAAACACTTGTCAGATAATGATGACAGAAATTATTCCATGAGTTCTTTTAAAAATTCTTCAAGTGGGTGTTCCAATAAACAAAGATTTATACAAGAAAGCTGAGGAATTCAGTTCGAAAAAAATCTGTGTATTGCATAATACATCTTCTAATTAAACACATATGATGGGTGGGATATGCTTTATCAGTTATGAAAGGCATTTACAGTTCTCTTTCTCTGTCAAGTTTATGAGCATATCATATTGAAACACCAGTTCCTGGAAAAATCACTATAAAAAGCAGCACAGGCTAACAGCCTTATCATGTTGAGACACCAGTTTCCACCCGATCACCAAAGTTCAGCAACGTTGATCCTGGACAGTACCTAAATGGGTGACTGCTTGGGAATTCCAGGTGCTGTAAGCTTGAATGTGCAAGTGGTGTAATGAATAATGGCTTGGAATTGTTAATTGGAAAGCAGAGGTCCAGTTACCATTAGGTTCGTTATATTCACTTACGTGCAAATACCCTTAGAAAGGGTATGAAGCCATCTCTTATCTCCCCCAGCTATGGATTAATTAGTAAGACTTATGTCACTAAATCATTATCTCAAAAAAAAAAATTCTTACAATTTAAAAATATTTTCTGGCTTTAAATAACCTGCAAAGGATTGAAAAGCCATAGAAAACGAATCAATTTATCTCTGTATGTTTTCTTCTCTCGCTCTTGCAGCACATGTCCCCATCACAACTTAATACAGAATTTTATATAAGGGTGATGTGATGACTTATACTACTGGAGGAGGATTCTTATTAAAAATTGTATATTTCTAATTTTGTACTTAATTGCTTCTTTTCTGTCTATATCTGTTCTACTATACCTTACCTTATAGTTTCACCTTCGATTATGACATTTTGAGTCATTTTGTTTTTCCTTTATATTCCATACATCCAAGAAAGGCTTTAAAGCAAAAAGCTTTCTACCTAAATTATCATCATCAGTCCTATGACTGGGTGTGATCATGGTGTCACTATGCACCTGAGCAGTTCCTCCCTATATTTCGGTTGAAGACAAAAAAAGCTATTCATTCATTCATAGTATGCCTTGGGTAAGTAGACCTGGCAGAGCCCATTCCTCGTAAGCCAACCCAGCTATGGGTTAAATAGTTTGACTTGAATCTGGAAACATTATTATTCTCAAAAAATCTTTAATGCAATATTCATTCTTTTATGATGTCAACAAATACTACGTCACTTTCGTAATACTTGTTGTAGTAAAGACTTTGTAATCAGAAATACAACTATAATATGCCATCAAACAATACTGGTGTCAGGCAGCCTTTGAATATCACTCACACTAATAGTACTTGCTCTGTAATACTTTCTTGAAAAGTAATTTATATAGTGAAATAGTATAGAGAATAGTGGTCTGTACAGTAATAGAAGATAGACTAGGAATGCAGAACAATCAGGCACATGCTACTTCCCATATATACGTTTCCTCTATGGTCACATGGTTTACTTAATTCAATAATGGGATTGCGTGTGTTTGCTCACTAGTGATCTATGTTCAAACTCAAGTGTCAGCTTTATTCTTATATAACGCATTCACGCAAAAAGTGAAGTGGGGGTATTCTTACAATCCCCAAAAGATGTTTTGATTTTAAGTAGACCATAAACAGGTTGCTAAACTGTCAAAAAGAACAAATCAATTAATCTCCATTTCAAGTGCAGCTGATGTCCTTCAACTTGAACGCTTGCCTTGATCACAAGCACAAATGTAACCCCACTGGTTGATCCTGTCAATGGTAACCAATAATGTCATTCCATGAGTCGATCCTTGTCAACGGCCACCAATAATGTAACCCTATGCTCCACATTCATATTTAAGTTCCTCCAACCTATCATAATTACCATCTAGCTGACTCTTCACTCATTAATGCATGGCTCATTGTCACTGGTATTATGCTGGGTGCGGTTTAACTTGACTCCTATGCATATTTTTTTTTTTTTTTTATGATCAGCAAGACTACAGCAGGTCACTCCAAAATAGTAATGAATTTTTCTTTATCGCTTGTACCCAAAGGAATCAGAATTAATGTTTGGATATAAAAAATTTTCTGGACGAATGTAACAGAAATTATGATGAACAAATGCATCAGGCTGGCCCCTGTCTCTGTGGAGACATTTCTCTACTAGGTGGCTAAAGTCGAAGGACATCAGCAGTTGTGGTCTGACCTGGAGAGGGATAGGCTTCACCAGGTCTACTTTGCCCAAGACACGTAATGCATAAATGAATAGCTCTGGTCATATACTGAGCAGAACAGTGACCCTATGACCACACCTAGTCATGGGACTGATGATGGTGATATGCAAAATTGGAACGTCACTCAAAACAAGTTCACTAACACTTGTTGATTAATCTTTCTTTTGTTAAAGAGTGATGGCTAGGTTAAGGTTTTGCCAAAGAAGTCAAAAAGAATTTTTGAAATATTTAGACTTTTATAGACTAGATTTTTTTCCTTTTCTGAAATTTCTATAAAATAACATTTGTCAAAAGTTGAAAAAAATGTTTTCAAAACCTTCAGAAACTAAAAGCTGATAGTGGTTCAAACTAGAATTTTTTTTTTTTTTTTTCAACAAATGTGTTTTACTTGTTCAGCCTAGTTAGTCATGACTCAAGCTATTTAATCTTTATTTATTTAATAAATCTGGCAAGGGTTCCTGCAACCCAGACAGTGTAAATGTTACAAAAATGCCAAATTCTAGTCATAAGAGAACAGCAACAACCACTTAGCTGACAATAGCTATTTTTTTCCTTCCTTCTTAATCAGCAAGTTTTTACATACCATTATACTGTGCTCTTAGCCGGATCAGAAAAGGGGTCTTATATGTATTTTACTACTATAAATGTTATATTTAGTAAGTACATAGGTTTGACATCAGCTTTTACTTTTTAGTTAGCAGTAAAATTAGCTTCTGTGGTTGAGAGGTCAAAAGAAAATTACCTCTCGAGTTGTATGGAAAACCACGATTATGCTTAAGCATGAAATAGACTGTCACTGCTGGGTGTGGACCTCAATGTCCAGTTTTATGTTTACATATGCTCTATCCCTGATATTAAGCACTTTAGCTTATAAATATAGCATACCTTAAAACTATATTTTTATCATTTTATTTATATATATATATATATATATATATATATATATATATAGCCTGAATAATGCTTTTGAACCCACATCTTCCTGATTCTCTACTCAAATATGAGTATCCATTTAAAAAATAATGTTTAAACAAATAAATTAAAAAGCTGTCAGATTTAATCCATTTCCTAAAAAAATTGTCTTTCTTTATGTTAGGATACAAAACAGCAGATATGTATATTTCATTCAAAAGCACTATTAGGGCTTTGTTTGATTGGGAGATCTTATGTGGCCGAGTTGGTATAATGCACATCAGATAATGCCAGTTTCCCCTAGGGGACACTAGTTCGAATCCTGCCGGAGGACGGATATTTTTCTAACAAGATTTCTCGAGTATTCAGACCAGTAGATGTAAATAAATAAATATACTGTTTAATAAATAAATAAAAATAGAACATCTACTCAAATATGAGTATCTGTTTCAAAAATAATGTTTAAACAAATGAATTAAAAATCTGTCGGATTTAATCCCTTTCTTAAATGTATATAAATATATATGTATAGTAATGCCTTGAGATATGAGTGTATCGACATACAAGTTTTTGAGATACAAGCTGAAGTTTGGCTAAATTTTTGCCTTGGGATACAAGCTGAAGTTTGAGATACCAGTAAGTTTCAGTTAAGTATCCACTATTTGGCACAGTGAGCCCCAAGCTTTGAGAGTATTTTCACTCACAGTACACGTATTCACCCACTTCTGGAAGGAACTGTGTTGTGTCCTTTTTTGTTGTTATCTTACAAAAATCCTTCAGTGACGCCATAGGTCCAAAGAAAGCAAGTGTAAAGAGCAGTAGCAAAAGGCTGAAACACATGATTTTGCTTGAGGTAAAGTGGGAAATTATTTTTAAAAAAAAACATGAAGATATATGGGTAATGGATTTGGTGAGACTATGAATGTTCTAGATGGACGATAAAAAAAAATTAGTTACAGTAATGGATAAAATGTAAATGTTTTTAAAAAAAAATTTTTAAATTAAGTGGTAAAGTTAATCTTCAGTATCATAGACGAGGCTACCTGTTGTCTGTCTGTCTCTCTCTCTCTCTCTCTCCCTCCCTCTCCCTTTCTCCCTCTCTCTCTCCCTCCCTCTCCCTTTCTCCCTCTCTCTCTCCCTCCCTTTCCCTTTCTCCCTCTCTCTCCCTCCCTCCCTCTCTCTCCCTTTCTCCCTCTCTCTCCCTCCCTCCCTCCTTCCCTCCAGTTGTCCTATGACTCGTCTGAACTTCATAGTTTAGTACAGTTTATTTCTTTACAATTTGTTTTTTTTTTTCACTTATTTTATTGTCTATAAACATTTCTTGTTTATTCACACATTTTTGCTTGTAAGAAACCCACAAAAACAAATAAGGTTGATTTTTAGGGGTCTGGAACAGATTGAAAATATTCACATTAATTACAATGGGAGAAATTAAGTTGAGATAAGAGTTATGAGCTCAATCTTTGAACAAATCAAATTCATATCTCAAGATATATATATATATATAAAAAATAGTTTTAAGGTACACTATATTTATGGGTAAAGTGGTCAATATAAGGGTTAGAGTGTGCGTAAATATTAGAGTGGGCATGGAGGTCAACACAGTGGCAACAGTCTCTTTCATGCACAAATGCAATCTTTGAGGGAGGGGTATATAATGGCATTCAAACATGAAACAGACTGTCACCACTGTTGACTTCCATGTCCACTGTAATATTTACACACACACACACACACACACACACACACACACACACTGATCCTTATATTGATAACTTTACCCATTAATATAGCGAACCTTAAAATTATTTTATATATATTTATATATATAAAATTATTTTATATATATATATATATATATATATATATAATAAAAATATAGTTTTAAGGTATTCCATATTTATGGGCTTAGCCCAATAAAGAATGGGGTTCCAAAATAAATTTTGATGTTTGCTCAGATTTTGGTAAGTAGGTTCAGATGAGAACTTTTCAGCAACATCAGTGTATGCATATATATATGTATGTATGTATGCATATATGTATGTGTAAAAATCCAGATAGAAATATATCTGTAAAAAGATAATAAAATAAATGACCAGAGGAAAAATTTTCTTTACCGACAAATGTTTCATCCCTTGGCAAACTTTTATCAAGGTAATTGCGTTGATTTTATCTCATCACTTGTATTTATACAAAGAAGTCAGCATGCATGTTTTTCCTCCCCATTACTTACAAGTTATAAAATAA